GAGGCCGAGAAGCAGGGGACTGGCGAGGCAGCCACTGCGGCCACGTGGGGCTCGGCTCCAGTGAGGGGCGGCACCGTGACCTGCAGGGTCGCTCGGGCTGCCAGGTGGGAAGATGGAGGGCAGGGCTCAGGCAGGGTGACCCCGTGAGGAGGCTGCTGGGATGAGGAGGTGCAGGTGACACTCATGGCCGGGATCTGGGGGTTCTGCAGGCGGAGGTGTGGACCAGGAGAGGAAGCAAAGGACACACGACACCAAAGGGAGGGGATCTGTGCTGGGCTGAACCTCGAGTCCCCACATCCACATCCACCCAGACCCTCAGGATACGACTGGAGTCTCCGCGAGTGTGACAGGGAAGGATCTCCAGGCGAGAGCCTCCTGGTTTACTTTTTTCTTTTTGAGACAGAGTCTCACTCTGTTGCCCTGAGCAGAGTGCCATGGTGTCAGCCTAGCTCACAGCAACCTCAGACTCCTGGGCTCAAGCGATCCTCCTGCCTCAGCCTCCCGAGTAGCTGGGACTACAGGCATGCGCCACCACGCTTGGCTAATTTTTTCTATTTTTAGTAGAGACAGGGTCTCACTTTTGCTCAGGCTGGTCTTGCACCCCTGAGCTCAAAGGGATCCTCCCACCTCAGCCTCCCGAAATGCTGGGATTACCAGAGAGAGCCACTGCGCCCGGCTGATCCTCCTGGTTTAGAGTTGGCCTAAACCCAACGACTGGTATCCTTGAGATAAGGACAGAGACGTGGGGAGGCCGCATGAAGGAGGCAGAGGCAGAGCGAGGCCACCAGCCAAGGGAAGAGCCTTCGGGGGGGGAGCACTGCCCCTCCCACAGCAGAATCAGCGTCTGTTGTTTTAAGCCCCCCAGTCTGTAGTCAGGGCAGCCCCAGGAGACTGCTAGCGAGCGGAGAAAACTTCACCTTCCAACGGGACACTAACTCCCCACAGCAGCCTGACGGAGCCGGGCCCCTGGGTGGACACCGCCCGGCCTGGGTCCAAATGGAGCCACGAGCACGTGCCACAGCCGCAGGCCCCTGGCCCCTCCCCGGCTGCCTGCCAGGATGCCGACGGCCGAGCAGGGTGGCCAGGACGCCCAGGCCTGACTGGCAAACACCCGGGGCACCTGGACGGCGCAGCGCACTCCGGGCTCCTCACACACCCAGCGCTCACCACAAAGCCAACTCCGAGTCCACGAGGACGCCCAGAGCCGCCCGCCAGCTCCAGGCAACCAGCACGTGGCGCCAACGATTCCGTGGGCGGGCACTTTGGACGGCGTGTCTGGGCTCCACGCAGCTTCTCACGTGTCTCAGTGGAGCCTGGCGCTTGCCAGGGGGCCAGCCTGTGTGCGGTCACGTGCTGGATGCTGGCAGGTCCCAGAGGACAGTGCAGAAGCTGCGAGGCCCTTGGGGACCTGGTCTTGGAAGGCACATGTCACTTCAGCTTCTGCTGGTCGCAGGGCAGCCAGGGTGCAGGGTGGGGAGGCAGACTCTGCCCGCCAGGAGCAGAAGGGCCCCATGCCACCACGGTCTGTGCCACCACAACTTCTGTCTGCTGCAGTGGAACGTGGGTTTAAGTTAGATTTCCAGTCTCCACGGCGAGCACGTCAGCCCCCGGCTTGCAGGCCGCATAGCCCCGGAGATAGGCGAGCGCCCGCTTGCTTCCACGCCCACTGCCACTGTGGCCCCACTAAATGCCAGGGAAGGAGCAGGCAGGTGGGAGCCCCTGGGCACAGGGCAGGGCGAGCAGATGAGAGATCTTCACCAGGCTCCAGACAGCCTGGGCAGTGGGCAGGGCCCCTCACCCTCGGAAGCCTACGGGGGCTGCGCCAGTGAACGGGGAGCTCTGGAACGGAGGACACCAAGCCTGGGGGTGGCACTCGGGCCTGCGAGTTGGTGAGTAGAGGGGAATTTTGTGTCCTGAAGCTGGGGCCCTGTGTCTTCAGGCTGCATGGAAATGCCCAGCGGTAGCCACCGTAGGCAACAGCAGATGGGAGAGTCTGGGGGTCTCGCCCACTGGGCCTCGCCCACTGCCCTCGAGGTAGCAGGTCCAGAGTGGGCAGGAGGCCGAGGACACCGACAGGAAACCTCCAGGAAAGAGGGAAGCTGGCCTGCTGGGGCGTCTGGGAAACGTCACCCATTGGTGGGGACAGAGGTTGGAAGACAAAACACCCAGAGGGGCAGAGGGAGGGAGGCAAAGCTGCTCAGGGCAGAGCCAGCTCCCGACATGGGGGGCCAGGCAGGCTGCCGTGGCTCTGGGTCCAAGGGCACCATGCGCCACCCTAAGGTAGATCCAGGTCACTGTGTTGGGGGCAGGAGACGGACCTAGGAAGCCGAGTCCTGATCCACCGTGGCTGTGGAGAGAGGTCAGCAGCCAACGCACAGACGATTCGCGGAGGCAGCAGCTCAACAGGTTATAGAAGCCGAGACCACCTCTTTGGAAAGAGCAGGATCTGGCGACGGTGCACACTGGGGTCTGGGGGGAGAAGACTGACGCACATCAGATGAAACTTTATTTGAAATAGGGGCCGGGCCGGGTGCAGAGCTCAAGTCTCTGTAATGCCAGAGGTTCAAGACCAGCCTGGGCAACATAGTGAGACCCCGTCTCAAAAACAAATAAGGGACTGTTGTTTTTCAGTATGAGTCTTTTAGCACACTTGCCTTTTAAAAATAGTTTCAAACTCTGAGAAACCTAAACACACCTAATACCAGCCGCCCCCAGCTGTTCATCTCCCGAGTATTCATTGGCCGCCTTCTCTGCGCCAGGTCCTCGGAGGCTGCCGGGGGCACAGCTGGGAACAGGACAAAGACCCTGCGCCCAGGGGCAGCCCGCGCACCCCGGGGGTGCCGAGAGCAGGGGC